TAATCCCATCACGGACGGTTACTTTCACCAGCTTTCTTTAGTAAGCTTAAAGTTGATAATTTCGTGATATGTTGAGCCAGGGTGAGCCGAAGGTAATCCGGGCTAAAGCGAGGCTGTTTTTTTGGCTAACCGTCCTCGGACGCTAAGGGAATTCTTTTTAGAGACCGACTACCTAAGTATGTGTACCTTCTATTACGTAGATGGCTTTGCTTCGATAAAGGAACTGGCTTAAGCTACGTAGGATCCTTTCATTATCTAATTAGAGATGTCTTTCGGTCTTTAAGGTTCCTTACCCTAAAGATGCGTGTAACAAACGGTTATTAAGGCGTACGAGTCTTAAGATTCCAGGCCAGAGTTCAACTTGTTTTGAAGGAGAAGTTGATAGTATAACCCTAATTCTTGCTCCGCTGTAAATACTTTCGGCCCCATGCAATCGGGCACTCCGTTTCTGTGGAGGCCAGGTCATGTTCAGGCTTATGTATTACTCTGTATAAAAACTAGTGCAATAATAACTATCCGAACCCTCCGAACCCCCCATGTGACGCTCGTGCTTGGCCTTGTGGATGATCGGCACTTGGGATGACATGCATAAGAAAAGAAATAATCAACTGAGTCTTGGAGAAGAGCTCGCGCCGCAATTTGAAGTATATAGTATACTAACCCAATGGATTCCCAAGTTTTCAAAATTCCAGAGGGATATGATACCGACCGTGAGGTCATGATCCGCGATCTTGAATGTTAGATATCAGATCGCCTAACTACAAAGAACTTACCCATCTAAAGCTCTGTGGCACGTACATCACAAAAGAGTCAGATAATCATTTCTTTTTGCCACGTGCAGAATGCCCACTCAGAGCATAGAGCTTACGCCCATAATCTTGCTCTACCTGCAAGAGATGCCGGCTTCATGGACCAACAGCATGCTGTGCCATCCGAAATTGAGATGACTGCGTGCGCTTCGCCGTATCATTTCAAGTTGCCCGACAGACTTACTAGCCTCTACGCCAGTTTACCGTGACATGAGTGAGAGAAGTTGAGGTATGTACACCGCAGATTCAGTAGCTATTGGGTATTGCAAGCATGACATTTCTTTCTTGTGATATCTACGTTCATCCGAACCAGAGGACGGGTCATTGAGTTCCGCCGGCAGATCGTGTTTCTTTTCTGTCTCTAAAAGAATCCTACAAATCAAGCTGTCCGTCGCATCCTATATCAAATTCTTACACCCAATACTTGGGTTGATCGACATCGTGGAAGCTTCGGCCGGTCCACAAAAACATTTCACGCCTCACACTGGGTGATGCATGCAGGCCGCCACACCCGCGCCGCGCCCTCCACCGTAACTTGCCCTTCATATATCTTCAGATTCCACCTGTTCTCCGGGTCTAAGAAGCAGGGAATCATTGCTTTTCTACCTACCTGGTTAACTCCCAACTCCTTTCGTCGCACAAGATGTCCGAGGCAACTTGATCATAATCTCATCAACCTTCACCACCCCATCGCATCAAAGCCCCGCCGGGAAGGGCAGGCTTCCACTATGAAATCCCTTCACATCAACCCCCGTCAGGAGTTTGCGCCCAATACCAGTACCACCATGGAGTACTGTGACCTCCGCCGTATGGGTCTCATCCAGGGCCCACCCCCAGATCTGGGACCCAGCACGGCCGTCATTATTTGGACACTGCTCGCCATATCCAGCATTTTCCTCACCCTCCGTATTTACTGCAAAATATGGCGGTCTCGAGGGCTGTGGTGGGACGATTACATACTCACCGCCAGTTGGGTACCTATCTCTGCCTTCCCTTATTAAAACATGGAAAATACCAAAGGTACTAACGGGCTGCAAAATCACCACGAGAACAGCTGTGCTTCCTTGGCAACGCGATTATGTGCCAGAGAGTCTTCAACTACGGATTTGGCCGCTACCCCTGCGACATCCCGCCGGCGAACCTGTCCAGAGTAGCCCTCGAAGGCGCTGGCATCGGCGCGGTCTTTAGCATCCTCGCCATCGTGTGGTCCAAAACATCCTTCGCCGTCACCGTCATGCGAATCAGCACGGGCAAAGTCAGGGCGTTCGTCGTTGGCTTGGCAGTAGCCATGAACATTGCAATGTCCCTGCAGGCCATCTTTGTCTGGGTCAAGTGCGACCCTCCTGAGAAGAACTGGCGGCCGATGCTGCCGGGAACATGTTGGGATACAAGGGTCTCCAATGCCTATGGAGTCTTTTCGGGCTCGTTGTCAGGAATATGTGATATCATTCTTGCCCTGTTACCTTGGCACCTGGTCTGGGGGCTGCAGATAAAGAGGAGGGAAAAGATTGGTGTGGTGGTAGCGATGAGCATGGGTGTCTTGTGAGTGGGACCTGCTGCTGTCATAGTCGACGGCAATGACACAAAAACAAAAACTGACGGATTGAATCAAAGTGCCGGGGTAACTGCTTTTGTCAAAGCATCCAAGATTCTCACGCTGGGCGGGAAGAACTTTACGTGTGAGCTTTTCTTTATTTACACGCCCCCCTTTCATGTGGTCTGTCTGCACTTATACCCCTGACTTGCCACCCCTTTTTTTTCCCTTTGTTGTTATTGACCAGAAGCTGACGAATGGTTGATTAGACCAAGGTACGGCCCTCCTAGCGTGGACAGCAGCTGAGATCAGCACGACCATAATAGCGTCTTGCATCCCCGTCCTTCGTGTCCTGTTCCGTGAGCTGCGTGATGGCTCAGTAAGAAGACACCGCTGGCACGGTATTGTCACATATAAGCTCAGCCACAGTGGGGGCACATCTTCTGGGAGGAGCCGTGGTACAGCAAACCAAAATAGCAGAGGTGCTGCCGTCTTTGGCTCTGCGAGATCTGATACCTGGACAGGCACTTGTTGGCCATCAGATTTAGAACATGGCACGCAGACTCAAAATCAAGCGAGAGACATCAACGCACAGAGCCAGGAAGTTTTAGCAGAGCTCAGGGATGGCGTCAGTGTGAGGCAGCCAAGAGTTAAACTGCAACATCCAACTGAGCTGTCGGCGGCTGCAGAGTCCCGTAGTCGAAATCCCGGTGTTATTGTCCAGACACAGGAGTTTGAAATTAGATATGAGGAGAGGGAACCATGAGTTAGATTAATATATAATATCAACCCATGGGTCATTTTTAACGAGCGGCTCAACAACAAGATGCTCCAAATCTTTTGTCCAAGCATCCAATCACGGTGCCTTATTTCGATTGCTCCTTGTCCGTCTCCTCCTTCCCTTCCTGGCTTGATGAGGTTTCCTTCCCAGCCTGCGCTTTGGCAGCCGCCCTCTCCTTTGCCATTGCTTTCCTGGCGCAACTCAATGTCAGCTTATTGCAACCCCCTTTCGGAGACACCAAAAGAGACTCACTCCTTGTCCCGGATGTACTGGTTCTCGAATGCCTTCTCGCGGTCGGAAAGAGGGTTGAACGAGTCCATGTTGGGGTTTCTAAAAAATCGTAGATTGTTTTGTCTTATGCTGATCAGGTCTCTGATGAAAGGACATGTGAGAGGTGACACTGATGGGAAGGAGAGGTATATATATATATTATATATCTATATGGATCAACGATTGGTTGAGGAGGCAAAAAAAAAAAAGGACGGAATGACGTCAGCTGTTGATCACTGTTTAACCCTCTTCTCGCACAGAACCAAATCACCAAACTGAGCCTTCAGCTCGGGAATCTCCAGTAAGCCCTTCAGGTACACCTCCACATTGGGAACCGCCTTCCTCATCTCCTCGTCGGCCAAGAACTTGGTGGCCAACTGCAGGGGACCCAGCAGCTGAATATCCGCAAAGGTCAACTCATCACCGACGACAAACTTCCTGCCCTGAACAGCGACATTCACCCTTTTGAGCGCCCGCTCAAAAGCCGCGACGCCCTGATCGTACCGGGCAGCGTCAAAGGGGATGATTTTGGCGATCGTCATGAGTAGGGGAGGGATCATATTGCCCGCGAGTTCCTGGTCGGCGAAGCAAGCCCATTCCTCAATCTTGGCGCGCGTTTGTACGTCAGCGCCGAGGAGCTGAGCGGCTTTGGGACCGCTCTCGGCGACGTAGCGAGCGATGGCTTGGCCTTCCGTCAGCGTGAAGCTGCCGTCGGCCGACTCAAAGGCGGGAACCTTGCCGTAGGGAAACTTGGCAAGGAATTCAGGGGTCTTGTTCTGGACGCCGATGGTGAACTCGGGCACTTCGATCTCGAGGCCGTTGATGGCCGCGATGGCGAGGGCCTAGTGATTAGGTTACGTTAGTTTTCGCGGTTGCATGATTTTTGATTCTTTTTTAATGTGTCACTTACCCGCTGCACGCGGTAGTTGTCGGGGTAAGTATAGATCTTGCCGAGAGGAGCCATTTTGGTGATTATTATGTGCTTTTGATGTTGAGAACGGATGGATGATGAACAAGAACAACTTATCTGGGGGATATCGAACCTCCCTATTTATATGTTTAGTTCCTGAGCTCCCACCCCCGCCGCCACAACAAACAAAACGGAATGTTCCCGTAACATTGTGAAAAAATCTCCACTTTTGGACTACTGTTTTCTATGCTACGGAATACACTACCCGTTCCTCTCTTCCGAACCCTGAAATGACACACACTTTAGACTAGCGTAAACAACAGGAGTTTCACAGCGTTAAGCCTTTCCCCGCCTTTTCTGTATCTAAACCGTCTCGAAAGTTCCACACTCCACAAAACCACAAACTGTTCCTTCCTTACAAATCATCGTTCACGGCCTGGTGGAGTAAATAAAAGATAGCCCGCCGGTGTTCCGCGGATGTTTTCGGTTGATAGTACAAAAAGTGAGGGAGGGGCACAGACGTTAAAACGGCAAGGATTACAACATCCCAGCATGATATTACAACATTTTCAGATTGATAGGAATAAGACTTTTTTTTTTTTTGGGGGGGGGGGGGGGGACTTGACAAAAACGGATACAAAACCCGGTGAGGTCAAAGAGAAAAAAAAGAGAAAAATAATTCCTATTAATAGGACTTGGACGAGCCCGGAATCGAACCGGGGACCTTCCGCATAGTAGGAAATCTCTATTTTCATGACAGAAATTTTATGCTAAGCGGGCGCTCTACCAACTGAGCCACACGCCCTTTTCTTCTGCAGGTTGATGTGGCGGTCACAATTTGAGGCTTATTTCGAATAGCATTTCACCTACTAGCCACTCAAAGTGTTCGGTGTGATTTGCCTGACTGCTCGCAAATGTAGACATATTGTTAGTTATCATCAAGAAAGCGTCTAGTTTATTTCTTCCAAAAAAAAAAAAAAATTATTCTGTCGCAGGTTAGAAGAGTCCAGAATATGTGATCCTGCACCCCTGAACCTGGGTTTGACTCCTTCTCTTCGAATCACAATGGGTGAAGGTATGTAAGTTACATACATGCAGTTGGGGGATCATTTCACCCGAAGATTCCAAATAACCTGAGAAGCTTGATAATCTATTTAGGAGTTTCGCCGACAAAAGTCGGATCTAATGTGCTGTGTGTTGTTTTGTTGTAACACCATACTCTGAAGTGGTCCTCGGGTTATGCTACCGCTTTAGGCAGCGTCGGTTACACAAATTACCAATGCTGCAGGAAGAAAAAGAGATGATCAAGTAAGTTTCGAATGGGCATAAACAAAAGCCGCTTATACACAAAAACCCCCTGACTGCTGACATATGTACAGACCCCAATCATCGCATCAATTATCCTCAGCCTCTCTACAAACAGGACAACCCCCTGCAATCCTATCCCTCAATAACCGAGCATGATTAACCTTTGGCCCAATAAGGTGATGCGACCCTCCATACCCTTCCCCCGACCCATTAACTCCATTCAGCAGTGCCTCGTCCACCTTCTGGCCCGGATTCAACCTCTCCAGCAGATGAGTCAAGTGGAACACATGCCCGCAGGCAAACCCAACCAACGTCTCCATATCCCACTCCACAAACGCCTCAAAGCATTGCGCACAATGCCCAGGAGCCCACTTCTTGCCCGCTCCGGGAGGTCTAACAGGCGCTTCTCCCCCATTCACGGTACCCTGATCACCAACGGCAGAAGTTGTCTTCTCACTCCCAACAACCGTAGGCACATCCTTGGCTTGCACATCAATGTGATCCTTCCCCTTGGCAGCAACTTCAAACTTGACACCCTTCTTCTGCCCACTTCTCAACAGGTTCTGCGCAGCCGCCACCTCGCTTCTCAAGACCTTGGCAACCCCGGAACTAATGCTGTATTGAATCTCATGCTCCTTCATGATGTGTTTCAGCCCTTCCCGTAGGCCATCAATTTCGAGCCCCTCAGGGATTCTTTTAACGAGAGTGATTGGATTGATGGCTGTGCCGACTTCCTCAAGCAGTCCACGAATGAAGCGAGGCTTGTCCATGCTGTATTGGAGAAGGTCCTCCCACAGCTCTGGGTCATCTTGCTCCTTGGCGAAGGCGATGGCGCGACTGACGTCGCCGAGGCGGTCGATGATGAGGTAGAGAGCACGTTTAGAGTCGCCAGTTTTGGAATAGAGGTATACCAACTCTGGAATATAACTGTGTTTTTCACATTCGTGTACGGCCTGTGATGGTATTAGCAAAGGGGACATCGGTGGATGTCATGAAGAGTGATTGACGTACCTTCTCGAATGCATAAGCCGTAGACGTTTTGAGCAGGTTCATGAGCAGAGACTGGTCATAGATAGCAAAGAGGTGAACGGCTAGATCGGCAAAATTGTCAACCAGAGACTGACTATCTGTGACCAGTCGAGCCTTCGATTCACCCATGTGCTCGTGGATGCCCTGACCCCGCCATAAACCACGAAGATAGAAGAACGTATAGAGGTCTAGCTTGCTGTTCTGCAGTTGGGTGACGACGACATCCGGCTTCACTAGACCGTGTTGTGCTTCATCAACCAGCAACGATATGGCTTCGGATGTTGCCTCTTCAAGTTCGTCACGCGTCATCTTGCGGGCGTGGGGAACCCGTAGCCCAATGAAGCTAGGAATATCATCAGCCACGGCATCAGCTAGATGGCCATCTTTGATGAGCCTCATGGCCGAGTTGGCATCCTGCAGCTTGATGTAGCATTTCAGAGCTTCTCTGTTCCTTCCGTTAGCCTCGTGGAGCTTGGCAAGGCTCTCCATGACGATGCGCCAGTCCCGCCCGACTTCGCCATCTTCGACACTGTCCTCACGAACATCGCGGTACTTGAGCTGGTCTTCCAACGCGGTTGTAATGGTGGCAATCTCGAAGAGATCTGAAGACCAGCGCTCGAGCAGATCGCGGAACCGAGGCTTGCTGGTCTGGAGGTAATGGCCAAGCACGACCTCGTAAATAGTTCCAGGGATTGGCGGCCTTGTTCGTTCAGTTGGTATGTAGTTCACAATTTCGTCAAACTTCTGCGCGCCTGCGAATGTCCACACCCACTTCTCCCATCGGTCAGGCGTTCCCAGAACCTTGCCACAAATCTGTCCCGCGCGCGTCCAATTGCCAGCCTCAACGAGTTCCTGAATCCAAAGCTCGCCAATCCGACGCTTTTCTTTTTCTGCAGATGAATAGAATGACCGCAACGCTTCCTCTACCGCCGAGGCAGAGTCGTCGTCAAAGTCATCCGTACTGTGGGTATGCTCCGGCGATAATGGTGTTGCCTCTGGGGCAGTCGCCATGATCTCCGGATGCTCGTCAACCAACTCCCATGCTTGTTGATACTGTTGATGATCCAAAAGCCACGTAAGATGATCTCCCAAGTCTCTCTTTGTTGCTAGAATACAGTCGTAAGGGCTGTGGATAAAGATCTTGATCCCTGGTTTGGCGAGGTTTGGATGAACAGCGCCACGAACTGGTCGAGAAAATATTGCAGCCGCATGCACCTTCGATCCAGAGGCTGGACTCTCGTTGCTGTCCTTGCTCCTTACACTTGCCGATGAGCTGAACAGTGAAATTGGGTTGAGGGCGACGTTCAACATGTCGGTGCCGAGCCCTGCCAAGGTCTCAAGAGCGCCGCGACTTGATGCAGCAGCAGCAACAGTCTGGGCCGGCAGCACCCCTAGGTGATAGTCATTGGAGGTGAGCCTCTCAAAACGGCTCAGTGTGAGACTGTCCATCCCAATCTCGGCCTGCGATGTGAGGTCGATGAGCCGTAATTCGGGCGGCGGGTTATTTTGCCTTCGTTTGATCCCCCCTGACGGTCCACTGCCACCGGATAGCGTACGTTCGTGACCGCGAGGCGTCGGCTTCCCTTCTTCCTCTTCGTCTTCATCGGGTAAGCAGTAAGCAAGTACGAGTACCAAGTTCTGGGTATATAACGAAATGCCGGAAATAATACAATCCATGCGAAGTCTGCAAAAGTCAGCCAGGTATAATCGTGGGATAAAAGAAAGTCAACCGCTTACAGCTTTACAATCTCGGCCCGACCAGCAGACCTTTCCCCGGCATTCTTACCGATGCCAACCCCCCCGGGATGGACGTGAATTATCCATATTGTGCCTCCCCATCCCACTAATAATCGTTCAAATGTTTTGTTATGTTTTACCTGCTGCTGTTTGAGCTTCTCGGCTGCTGGCGACAAAAGGATTTCTTGTGATGGCTCTTTCGGCGGCTCTTTGGAGGCGTCCTTGGCGGGCTCGTCATATTCAACGGCTTGCTCGTCTATCCACTCTGCCCTGCCCTTCCAGACACTGGCCATTGTTTCCCACTCAGCGGTTTGTGGCCTGTCAATGTGGCCAATACGCTTCCAGGCATCCTCAGCATCGGTGCTGTCAAGGTGAAGTTTCGTGCGCATAATCTTGATCCCGTGCTCGTTCAACCAAACCACATATCTACCAGATAATGACCATTTGATGCTATTGATCGTGCCCTCGCCCGAATGCAAGACGGTATCTTTGCCAGTATGGGCACCCACCATCCCTCCTAGCCATCCTGCTGCCTGAGCTGCTGCCCCGGTGGTGGTAGCTGTGCTTCGACCTGGTGGGGCGCCAACTGTCAAGATAAGCTGGCCGGAAAGACCGCCCGAAAGATAGGTCTTGTCAGTCTTGTACTCCGGAGATAGCGCAACGGCTTGGATTGGGCGCGCAAAGTTCCGCAGGTGTACATCCTTTACATCGACAAGATTTTGGACGCAGACATTGCCGTCCATGGACGAGGTGGCAATGTAGATATTGTTCGACGGGGTATTAGGCACGATATTCTGCTGTTCACGCGGTCTGCGCGAGGCGGCCGCCGCTGAAGAATGCATTGGCATTGTCTCAGCACGGCGCGGGCTCTGGGGAGCCGCATCAACATCGGGTTTGGCAGCCGAAAGCGGCGGCGGGTATGGCGATATCGAGAGCGACGTAACGGACGCGGAGTGGGCATGGTAGACTCGTAGAGATTGAAAGGCTGGCAGCTGAATAACATGAATGTTGCCATTGTGTGTACCTATGATCTGTCGTTACAGAGTGCAAGGTTAGTCAAGGTGCATGCGCAACGCTTGCGGCTGGCAGGGGATAGGGTCCCAACCGTCTTGTCTCCTGCCACAATGAAGGCGCTCGTCGCGTCGCCATTTCGATAAACGGGGCCAAGATGTTGGGTTAACCGGGCATATTTCAGCTTGGGCTCCTCGTCTTCTTCCTCTTCTGAATCGTCCTCGTCATCTTCGTCGCCCTCCTCGTCGCCCTCGCCGTCTTCCGCTTCCTCCCCTTCCTCCTCATCATCATCCCCTCCATCACTTGAGTGTTCTACCGTGGGATCATCGGATGTAGCGGTATCTGTTGCCGTGCTGTCGCCGAAGAGAGAAGCAGATGCTGCGGCCCTGTTTGTTGAGTTTGTTGTTTGTGTCGCGCTCCCGCCTCTACCTTTACCTCCACTCCGTTTGCTGGATCGTGTTGGTGTCGTGTCGGTCTTTGTTTCGCTATCGCCGGACTTTGGCGAGCTCTCTGTCATGTTGATTCGAGCGACACCCTCAACTTCATTTCATCGTCTTGCAGTTTTGCGGGTTTCCTGCGTAGTATGGCGTGTTCGGTTGTTGAACCCTTCGGGAGCTTCAGGCACAGCCAAGAGCTACGTCAGAGCTCTCAGTGGTCCCCGAGACCGCGAAGGACCAATGTGACCACTGCATCCTCCAAGGATTCAGCAGAGTTTTAGCC